TGCTGGGTCAACATCGCTGTCCAAAAACTTTCTGCCAATGCACTATATTTTTGGCTTAGGTTGGACAGCGCTGTAGGGGAGCCTACATCGCTGTTCCAGAAGTTTCTGGAAATCCAACCTTGGCTCAACAGCGATGTCTAACATCCAACATCGCTGTTGGAAGACTTAACGCCAAACCATGGTTTTCAGCCACCCAAGCGGACAGCGCTGTTGGTTTCACCAACATCGCTGTTGGGCTGGTTTAGCCAGACCCATGGTTGGTTTAGTCAGCCGTTAGCCGATGTCAAAAATCTAAGTTCTCCAAAGTAAAAACCAAGTATTGAAAATGTTTGTTTAATGCATTTTGCTAAGAAATCAATAAAACGTTTTGAAAACCACGTCATTTAGTTGAAAACCACGGCTAGCCAAGTTTACGCCATTTCGCATGGTTTTCACTAAACGACCAAAAACGAAAGGTGGTTTTTGAAGCGTTTTTGTTGGAGAACTATTTAAATGTGCCCAGAAGTAAAAACTAGTCATAAAAGGTTGAAAACCACTTGATTGGTTCGAACGCCAAAAAACCAATGCCGAAAACCGAAAGCCGAACGCCGATTTCTGAAAGCCGAACGTCGGATGGCTTGGTTTTTGGCTTAGGCGAACTCCAAGTGTTTTGAGCCAAGTTTAAAACTTAAGAAAAATATTTTTGAAAATGTAAAAGAGATTTTTATGAATTGAGCCTAGAGAGCCAAGATTTGGAATTTTGTGCCGGTCTTGATCACATTAAGACCGACTCAATACAATTCTAGTTATTCGTTCTTGATTCTGGGTTCTTGGTTCTCAAGTCATCATGCCATGTTCCTTCGCCTTAGTTTTGCTCACTTTAGCTTCGATATGTCACGGCGGTTTGGCATTATCAAAACCTGTCATAAAGACGAACACAGTTTAGCACGACGGAGGTGTAAACCCGTGTTCCAACAATTTCCCCCTTTTTGATAATGGTAAACAAGACGGGGATATGCATCCTAAGGGATATTTGTTTTTCAAATTTTGTGAAAAAAATGTTCCCCCTTAATTTGTGCTTAAAAAAATTGGTTGGATTAAAATCAAACGGTCTCGTTTATAGAGACGTTCCCCCTTAGTATATGCATAGCCCTTTTCTTCCGCCATTTGACATTAACAAAAAGATAAACGAAATGATTTTATTTAACAAAGGGAAATAGCGGATTACAACGGAAGCATTAAAAAAGAACAGGATAATTAAAGTAAAAGAGATAGAAATTCTAGGGGAGTCCTAGTCTTCGTCTTCGGTTTCCTCCTCGTCGTTGTCGACGTCCATCTCATCCCCATCGATGGCATCGTCGAACTCGTCTTCATCCGGGGAGCTTGACGGGGCGTAGGAGTCATCAGCTTCGTCTTCGTCACCGTACACTTGCCCAAAGAACGTGCCGTGGTACGGTGGGGGGACGTAGTTGATGCCTTGGAAGTACGAGTTCATCGCGTATCCTTGGCGTTGAACAGCCACGTCGAGCCGTTCAAGGTAGCTCCCCATCCCGTCAACCTTGAGGTGGAGCTGGTTGAGGGAGTCGGCGATGGAGGCGAGGTTGGCCCGGGCCTGGGGTTCGGCTTGGCCAGCGGCAGTGGCAGTGCGGCGTGGCTGGGCAGTGGCAGCCGCGGCGTTGTCCGACCGCTTGAGGAAGGTTTGGTTGCTGATTGTCCAAATCTTCGTGGCCTTCGTGAGCGG